TCTGAATCTTTCGAGAAAAAAAATGTCTTTCATGATGTTCCGAATTGATTTTTGTTGACTCTTTCGTACGAATCTCTCTTTCATGTTTAGTTCTTTCTGCTGGTACAGGTTTTATTGCGTTTTTATGTCATTTTCACTGATGCCTGACTATGGGTATTTTGTCAATATTATAACATTTTAGAAGTCCCAATCTGATTTCCTTCTTTTCATCAGACTTGGCTTGATAAGCTAATTAGGGCTATTTACAAGTAATATTTTCTGGAAAGTTAAGTTTCCAGCAATAGTTTCTTGCTTTTTTCAGAATTATTCTGTCTTCGGCCGGTAGTTTTGAGCTCTTTGTGTTATCGGTAGGTAGAATCTGCTACGAGAATATAGTACACTAGCAGAGTTTTCTTATCGACAGCGTCATGAGCAGTACGTCACTTCCGGCCAATTACATTCAGGTTTTGCTTTGCGAATTTGGGTTCAAAAGCCACATTTTTTTTTCACATCCATACAGTTCTGGACTTTGGAATGGGCCAAACGTCTGTTTTTCACCATAAATGAAGAAAAGGTATATGCGATATTTTCTTGTTCAAATATCTTGAGATATGGAACAGCCATTTGAACAAACGCAACAAGTTCTGAAAGATACTTTGCTTAAGAAAGTGAGATAAAAAAGTCTGGTATTTAAAAAGATGACAAACTATATTACATGATTTAAAACAAACTCAACTAAATTACAACTCAACAACTCAAGTGCAGTAAATACATTTTGCTTAAGGCTTGCATCGTGAAAATTGACGAATAAAATGTTAAAATCTTAAACCAATTTGGTAATTCAACAGATGACAGACTACGTTACATATATTTATCTATTCAAGTTTTTCAGCATGGGGATTACAAAAAGCTAAAGAGGGAATGTATTGGGTTTGACACAAGATTAAGTTTTTCTCACCTACATTCAAGTTAGATTTATGAAGATTAACAAAAATTACTTAAAGGATAGAAAAAGCTACTCCGATACAACGCGACTGAACTGATGAAGATAGCGAAGGTAATGCAACATGATCTATATCCAGTGACATTGGCATAATGCGAAAATTACCAGGTATTAAACCCATTAAGGGATAAACGGATTACCTTAATCCAGTCCAATAAAAAGGGAATCTAATGGAATTCTGTACAAAGTGTTGACCTGTGCTGAGAATCTTGGTCTTAAATGATCCCTTTCCAGTCGCGCAGAAGAAAACAAATCTGGTGCATTCGTGAAGGTTGGTATCTTTTGATCAGATCTGCAAGATGAAGGCTGGTAATCAATTAAACATATTCAACACCTTGATTGAATGGAGCTTTTACACTGCATCATGTCCCTTATACTTTCTGCATACCAGCAAGGTGTAAGTTTCTCGCGGAAGCAACACAGCCCACATTCTGTGATAAATTGTCAGTAAAAAGATGAAAGAATTTTAAGATCTGCAGTTTCGCAAAAATACACATCCGTTTGATGTTATGGTGTCGCATGAATGTGTTTTTAAACAAATATCTATTCTGAATGAACACCAAACTTTTTTTTTGGATAATGTTCTAGATCTCTTTATGAAAGATATAGTTAAATTATTTTATTTTTTGTTGTTGCCTTTAAAATGTACGTAATATATTTTTTTATAGATTTTTTTTACTCTTAATCCTTTAATCAGACGTTAAATATCATTTTGTGAATTTGTATTTTGCAGATAAAGAGAAATATCACCTTCCTAGAGCACTTTTTATCACCAGAGTTCAGTATTTATTTAAATTTATGATCAGGTTTATATTATATCAATTCAGCTTCATGCACTCAGCCGTGTGTTCGATCTGTGTAAGCTGTATTATATCTGTATTCTCCGAAGAGGGCAGAATCTATTTAATTTGGGGCATTCCGATTCGTTTTAGGGTTACCTTTACTATAGACTATAAGTTGGTTGTGAAATCGAGATGAACCCCAGCAAGATAAATCGTTTAGGCTGTGAATTCTAATGACTTTACAAAATAGTCTTCTGACATTTTCTTTTTAAAGAATTATGAATTATAAATTGCAAGGCTCTTTCCATTTTTAGGCAGAAACTAATTAATTATAGCGACAACAAGGCATTTGAACAGGTGAATACAAAGGCCTTATTTTCGCTTCATTAATTTTAGAGTCCTTTCTTCATTCCCCAAACCTTTGCTTGTGTGTCTGCTATAGTTACGACATTCAGTTCCTTGATAGCATGCTTTAAGGTCTTAAAAACATTATCTTTTGAGCACGACAGCATGCATGTTCTTCTAGACATATTTTAGAAACATCCAATATGCGTTGTCGTCATGGAAAGCAAGGCTTGTGAAAGTGCATATGACATTATCAAGATACTTCAACAAAACTTACGGCCCAATGCACAGAGTTTTATTTTTATCTTTTTCCAGAATATTTATCTTTGATAATTTATATAAAATTTGGATTTTTAAAGATAAACTGAAGAACTATCCATAATGATATTTGCATGGTTTCCGGATTTTAAAGGTATATCACATATTTCGACATGATTTATCTTGGTAAAGCAGTCCACTTGGTCTTCCTTGGTATGAGATTTTGATAGGGTAAATACAGGGGCCCCGCCGACAAATTACTCTTAGGATGATTTGTCGATAGGGGCTAGTTCATATTAAGCAGTTATTGGCAAATTATTGATTCCCGTAAAAAGTTTAACATGCCTTATCGACCAATAATGGCGGAGAATATTACCGACAAGTTACCATTTTCGGAATCCTGTCTGATTTCACAATTTGAATAATTCTCTCCGAATTTATTTCACATTAAATTTAAGGGAGGATGATTAAGTTACGAGTTGAGAGATGAAAGCAAACAATTGTAATAAAAGTCACTCAATCGGATTAATTGCATAAAAAACCTTGTATAAATTCATCCTATTTTAGTAACTTTCGACAAGATGTTATGTCCTTGAATCAGAGAATATCTAGTGCACAGAGTTCCAGTGCTCCCCTTCCAGGACCGTGGAGGCATTGCCTAATCTTCTATATTCTGAAATACTTTTATCAGTTACTATTATTAAACTTTAATGTAAACTTAATTACAAAATATTAAAGATGATATGATTTAAATACATAAAATTTAATACCTACCTTCTTCGATATATCTGAAATATAACATGGATATACCAATTTTTGGTGAACTTTTTGTAAAAAAAGGTAAGATAAAAAAAAAAATGCTAACCTAATATTTTTAAATCCTAAAATCTATTTATACCTATAACTTATAAATACAAAATAATTTTTCAAAGAACTGTAGTTTTTTCTTGAAAATGTTTCTTTATCCAGATAAATATATCTATCTTAAGTGTCTCTGTAGGCAAACAAAGTGAGTTTAGGTAGCAAGCATATCTTATTTACATATTCTCACAGACACACTACACTCTTCAAAAATTTAAAGCAGGTATAATTTGTTCTGGATTTCAGTAGTAAATAAACTCCCAAGAAGTATGCAATTTCGGTTCATTTAAACAGTTTTAGAGAAATTTAATGTATGAAAAATTTCACATACATGTATTTAGATACATGTACTTGAACAAAACTTTAATAATGCAAACATAAAAATCATATTGGAATTGAATAAGAAAACTTTGATTAATTTCATATTTCAATAACTTTTATAAGCTCCATGGTGAATCTATTTTAATTTTACCTTTTCTAAATAGATTTAAAAAATATTTTTAGCGGTGGAATAACTGAAACACATGTTGATGTTCCTACATAAATTTTGATGTGTCAAATGAGAGTTATGAGTCAAATACAACACTAAAAAACCACTACTTTTTATTTTCAAAAGTTAGTCGCGCATATATGTATTTAACCACTCCCATTGTTTGTGGAATTGAATAACACGTGACAAAATTAGCAAGAAATTAATGACTTTCTGGCGTGTTTAAAAACATCTAGTGGGATTTACTGATAAAACCAAATTTACGGGTCATCTAAAATTGAGCGGGGACTAGTTTTACCAGAAAGCAGCATTCTTGGTCGCTAAATATGTAATCACTCTGAAACTCGAAGCTATAATTTACATATATAAGTACTTAGAAATATTTTCATAGGGAGTGAGTGCAACTAGGATAAGAGATTTTATTTCGTGAAATATATGACCCGTGTTCTATATTTGTGTACAGTTTATTGTATAATTAACGTGTTCAGTACAAATACGGCCCTACTCCTTTAAGATATTGTGTTTTACAAAGAAATCATAATTTAGACTCATCATGCCGATCGTTAACTTTGCATTTGATTTACAAGCTGGGGAACGAAAGTAATAAAACCCCTGGAGGTGACGTCATATTAAATTGATGTACGGGTACCTTGATTTTATCAGTTTTCAAACTTCTTATTAATACATTCTTTTCTTATTATAAACCACTAAGGTTAAGAAAATACCACATTCATAAATCAACATTTTTTTTTCAAGATGCGCTACTTGAATATTTGAGTAGATGGGAAAAGATAGCTCTCTTACTTTATTTCAGAGAAACACAAAGTTTTGAACATACATGTATTCATGGAAAAATATTGATGATAGGGATATATAAGGAGGGATAGAAAAATACAAGTTGTTTTTTTTTAAAGTCTTTAAAAAAAAGAAAATCAAGTTTTGACAAAACTACGTAGGTAAAAAGACGAGTTATAGAAATCTTCTGCATAAAATACCATGAAGTTAGCTTTTCTTTAAAAATCTTTTTCTTTAAATGAATATCTTATCTGTCTTTTTTCTTTTTTTTCTTTTTTTTTTTATTTAAAATCTTTATCCCCTATCTTAATTTTGATTTCCTGAACGATTTCATTCACATATATCTTTCCCACACAGAGTGGAAAAAAAAACATTCCCGTCCTTTTGTGTAAAGTAACACCATATTCTTTAAAATAAAATGCAGCAATTACATTTTACTTTTTCAAAGATTTTAATCATAAAATTCCTGAAATTTGTAACTTACAATAATAAATTGAATAGTTTTGATATATCATCAGTCCATAACCTTTCTGGTTCATACAAAATAATTTATAATAATCAATGAAAGTAGCACTATCTATTATCATTAATACCGATTGGATTAACTTTCATCAAAATCATGCAATAATTTTGATTATTGTACTCAACGTCATCTTATAAAAATATACAAAACATTAACGTGTTACTACAGCCAAGTAATATGCACTTCTATTACCACAATATATACCCAGGTTAAATGCCGAATATAGCACCATCTATACACGTCATCAATATTTCAAAGTTTTCATCATTCAAGGGATGTTATGTCCTCTACCCTCACGTTCGGAATGCCTCTAAACTTATTGATCATATCATTCCTGAATGAAAATATTAAGCTGTTTTATTTGAGAATGTGAACACTGCATTTAATATTGGCAAGAGTGCTTTTGGCATTTCATAAAAAAATGTTCTAGATGTTGATTTTTTTCATTCTCCTGCTAAACACAACGGTTCACACAAAATTTATAAGAGCCATCATCCAGCACTTCCGGTCTCATTTTCAATTATTCACGTGAATGACACGTGGTCATGTCAGACATTTTTGGTCTTCTACCACTACCGAAATATCTCTAGAACGTTCTCACACACCTCCACTGTTTCCTACTGTTGCATACTGACACGCCGATAATGTGGGCTGCCTGTGATTGACTGGGGGATAACCAAATGACGTAGAATGATGTTTAGCTTTCAGTCTTAGAGAAGCAATACTACTTGAACACTGGTCACGGTTGGGACTATAGATGTATGGTGGGGCTGGAGGGGCGTAGGGGCAAGGTGCCCCTGTGTTAGACATATTGGTAGGGACGCTAGGCATGTTTCCAACCATTGTGTTGCTTATACTACTGGCTGGATTTGAGAAACACATGGGCTGTGTGGACACCACTGACGACAGATGTGGGTTGACGCCATTGAGTCCCCAGGGAAATGTCTTGGTTCCGAGAGGGCTTGGCACTTTTGCAGCCCAGTAATTGTTGGTATATCCGTTGTACAGAGGGTCCTCAAATGGTGTCTGCATTAGACCCGTGAACTGGGATCCAAAACCAGTTTTATATGTGTCTATATTGCGCTCTCTTTTTCTCCATTTTGCTCTTCTATTCTTGAACCATACCTATTAATAAAATAAATATATATGAAAAGTATAGTTGATAACCTTCAATTAAAGTATTTCAGACACCCACTGAATACATAATAAGAAAAAAAGGAACGTGCATACGACATCGGTCAAAATCATTGACAAGTTACTTTGAAGATAACTTCACTTTTGAGGGGCAAAAATCTTGTCTGTTGTTGAGAAAGGTTATCAAATTAAGAAGTCTAAGTGCTTGTTCGTGAATTACACCAATTGACGGTAGTTTAATAACCGGACTTTAATAAATAAAGCGTGTGGTCCCTCTCGGTGACCAGTGGTGATAGCCGTCCCCTTAGCTCGTGATATATAGCCTAAAATTCAAACCCTATCAAATATAACAGCCAAGTGTTACGCGAGGCGGAGTTGTCAATTTTCTTGGGCTAACGGACTTACTGCAATTTTGTTTGCTCATAGATAATACACCTACAAAATACAGATGTTCGTAGGTACATAAATAATGGAAAATTTCAACTCTTATTTGGAGAAATAACAATAGAGAATTCTTCGGACTATGCACGGGAGATAAAAATTTGATGTCACCCGAGAGTTAACTGATTGAGAAGGGCAACCTTCTGTGAATTGCTGACTATTAGCTATCACTCATCTTTAATGTTTGCTGTTAAATAGAAAACAATATTGATATGAAAAATAGCACGTTTCTTGCTTATTTGTGCCTCTTCGAGTTGAACTTGGCTGATAACAGAATGTTCTTCGATAACCTTAAAAACGACCCGCTGGGGCGCATTGCGTGAAAATAGTACACCCATGATATGATTTATCAAATTCGGTTCTGTCTTTCAACGAAAGTCTAATTTGAATAATTAGCACTTTAATCAAAATACTTTTGTTTATTTTTTCAGGAAGAAGCCTTCAAGAAAAGGAACATTTTTTGACAAATGTATTCACTAAATGCTGCGTCAATAGCACCAATCATTTTTCCTCTACCTTACAAGGAATGAAAGTTTTTTTTTTTTTTTTATCTTGAAATCATTTATGTTTATTTGAGCTTTGGCGCGAAGAACATTAGTGAAAATAAATAAAAGTAGGCAGTTGAAAAGACTTTCTTGAACGAATTCATTTTAGATTTTAGATTGGTACAAAATTTATTCACATATTTAAATTTATTGTAATAAATCTACTTGTCGGGTATTTTTTTCACCTAAGATATGAACTCCATGGGAAATGACATTTATTTACTGGTTCGCCACTTTTTGAGGTTAAAAAAATCGGATCATGAGTATTACATATTATTTGCAGCTTATTTCATTTTTTTTTTAGATCTTCTTTTAAAATAGAAAAAATAAAAAGTAGAAAATGTATTAAGTTTATACAATCTGTTTTAAATCCAACATTCTATAGTCAGAATTTGTCAACTTTTAAGACACTAAAAATCCTTTTTTTTTTTTTTTTTTTACAATAAAGAAAAATATTTTGAAAGGCTATATTTAATAATTCTTTTAAAAAATAGAATCCACCGTTTACATGGGGCACTTACTCTGACTCTTGCTTCCGTTAGATTAGTCCAAGCTGCGATCTCTTCCCTTGTTGCCATGTCTGGATAGCGGTTGCGAGCAAAGGTTGCTTCAAGTTCCTGGAGTTGCTGGCTGGTAAAATGTGTTCTCTGTCTTCGCTGTCTTTTCTTTTTCTTGTCGTCATCGGAAGTGCTGTCGTCCATTTTGCTTTTTGTCAGATCTTCTACAAAGAAACACATAAGAGTATTTTTTATATTTTTTCTGTGGGGAAAACTTGAAATCTTTGAACTTTTGTTTATAGACTTTCTGATATGCGTGCTAATTCGAATAGGAATAACGAAAGAAAAGGAAAATACACAACTCATAAATTTATATTCTTCTCAAATGAACAGATCAAAAACAACGTGAAATTGCTCTAGGGTGAAATTCGACACGTGAAGTGCAAAATGTAGTCTTTGATTGCATCAAGTAAATGCACAAGGCCGCTTAATCAAAAATTCCAAAACGAATTCATGTAATATATCTTCCCAATGTCCAATTACACTTCAAGATATTTGCTAAGCAAATATTCTGTAAGTTGAACTTTACAAAAAAAGCTGGAATAAAGAACCTGGTAAAATGAGTAGCACAAAAAATTAACATACTCTCACCTTGCCCGAGTTAAATGTTACTATGAAATATTTTTAAACGAGTGGTATTTTATATATCCTATTTAATTTCTCGGTGGCAAGTGAAATATATTCACACATCTTCTAGTGTATTTTTTCAGCTTAATGAAAGATGGGTTCAGGTTATTGAAAAATATTGTGTTTCCTCTTTGGGGCAAAAATATTTTCCTCTTTTAACATCAAAAGAGTCGGACCGTTCATTGTAATTTATCTGTCATGAATTGAAGAGTGGGTTATTTTAGTATTCGTATTTCACTTTCACACTACTTTTCAGAAATACGAAGTAAAGACTAGACGAAGTCTGATTTAAAAAAGAAGTTTATAGGTAAATAATTTCAAAGGTTTTTTTTTCATTTGTGTTCACATTTTCTGTGACAGCAATTCACTCTCATTATGCGACAATTACCACTATAGAATAACCCATTCATACCTAAACCAATTCAAAGACATCAGTAGCATATGAAAACAACCATTGTTAACCAATGATCCTAAACAGAACATTCACTCCAGGGCTGCTGGGATTAAAAAATATATATCACGTTTGAAAAAAAATTAATGTTCTTAAGATATGGAAATATCTGTCAATTGCGTATTTGCATGTATATTCCTGTGATAATATTGTAACAGTTAAAGTCCTGTCTTCAGAGTCTTTGGTTGTTTTTCAAGGCACTCTAACTATCTGATGGCGCCAAGCTTGATCCCCAACCCCGGAATGTTTTCATCCCTACACCACTTCAACTCAATGCAATAAGATCCTGGTCAGCTCTGCTTGATATTAACGAATTACGGTAATAACCACTTGAAACCAATGCAAGTTTTAGTTTATTTACTCAAAAGATACAAAGTGAGCGAACAGCCCCCCGTTTCATTCATGACATTAACCACATAAGCTATACCATGCATTAGAAGAGGGGAATGTCATTACATTTTTTCTTTTTTTTAACATTTAAATTTTTTTTTAGAGATTTAAGATTTTTATGTGAGTGCAATAAATAATCAAGTCTTTAAGAAAAACATTTTGCTTTTACAGCCATGAATATTCAAAGTGTCAGTCTTGTTTGAATGCTACTTGCACACTTCTGGAAAATCTGTGATCATCATAAAAAATATGCTGGATTTAAAACTCTTGTCAATCCATGTATATTTAGTTATTTATTTGACATTATAATCTTTTAAAGACCGCCATGAAATTAAGTTTCTAAATATTTACAGAAAGCTAGACTTTTTTGGATTTCTTAAATCCAGATTTAGTCATGCAGATTTTATTATTCCCATAAAAAATCGCTCAACTGAGAACACACTTCAAACTGTTTATTCACACTGAATATTTTGCATAAAGAATACAAAAAAAAGTCTAAAATCTTCTCAGTGATATGCACTTTTTTCACCACTGCTTGCTATTTGAATTCTATATCTTCCTCATAATTGTTCCAATTCATTTTTATTTAAATAATTTTATAAATATTATGAATACTTATTAACATTAGATTGATTTTAATCATTGATATTAAGTTGTTTTTTTTTTAATATACAAGCAGGAAATACATTTATTTTAAAGACTTTTTTCTCTCGAAATATTCACGTGCATCTGTCAAATATGGTCTCAAGATAACACACATATTTCTGTCATGTCCGGTTTTTGTTTAAATATTGATCAGTGATTTTGATGATTATAACATGCAACAGAGATTAGAATAAAATGGGTTCTTGTGTTGTGACACTGACAGTCTTGAGATACGGCTCTGGGCAGATTTTGACAAAGTGCATTCTTGCGACCCTCTCTCCTTCCACTTGCTGTCAATATCACAGCCGACCTTATACCCTTATTTCATCCTTAAAACATAAAGAAGCTACAAGTATTTATTGAATTTTACTTGACGAAAAAGGAATTACAATCACTACTCTGTATCGATCTATTAGTTTGAAACTTTTAAATTAATTGCTATAAATCAGGAAATTTGTGTGCTTCTGGTCACTTCGAACTAAGAAAAAGAGACTTCCGTATTGCATTGTTGCGTGTTTCTTAATAAAAATGGGAAATGGTAGAAGAAAAATCATTAATAATTCTATTGCATAGCAGTTATATGAGAATTTTTTTCCACTGGAAATCGATACAGTTTGTTTAGCAGTTCATAGGATAATTATCTGTTTGATTTGATTTTTAGAATCAACACTTCACTGCTCTCCCGTCAAAGATGAAACGGAGAAAAAAATCGATTTATAATAAGCTTAAAATATTGAGAGGGGGAAGTTTGCAAACGTCGCCCTACCTGTGGTTTTGTCTAAGGAAGTATCTGTGGAACTGGGGGAGAGGCTTCCTAATGCACCCCCTCCGTGAGGGGTGGACATCCCTAAAGAAGCGTTTTCGGTACTGTTGTTCGCTGCAGTATCCATATGATGCATTGTCATATTAGATTCTGAAGATGAAACACTAGCTACGAATTCCTCTAGAGTTAAATGATCAGTTAAAGAGTCCATCTACGCAAACAGAAAACTCAGGATAGAATTCCTGGTTCTGTTTTTCTTTTTACCCGCAAATTTTCGGTTTATAATCCCCTTATGCTAATCACAGTCCACACGTTTTGTTTTAAAGTCTTGGCGGTAAATGTGATACACTTTGAAGCCTGAAACACTATATCAGTAGACGGCATTAGAGTCTCACTGTCGATTGTTCTATATCAGATAAGTACAACCCTAGTTGAATATGCTCTATCCCTCCTTCCGTAATGGCTGGGCTTTCTATCAATAGCTCGGGAAATGTAAGCGGATTTAGCTCATCTCTCCCAAGAATCATATAGCCGCTTTCACTTGTGAAACTGTTTATCTGAGGCTTAAAACCTTAATATCTACTGCATCCATGAGAAATATATATTTATATACGTTATCTCCAATTTTAGGGGCGTTTGGGCATGCTTGATATGACGTCACAATCAAACTGTTTCTTTAAAATCAATTCTGACAGCCCTCCGACTCTGATTAGCCAGTGATCACCGAGATCCTTATCTTCTGCCACGCGAAAAATTTGCATATGAAAGATATGCAATCAAAAATATTATTGGCGATTTGTTTACAGTTCACTTGAATAATTCATTTCTTTCTATACATAATTAGCTTAAGTGATTCGTTGCGTGGTTTTTGTGCGCCAATGTCAATGATTTTTTTTCCGCGGCTATTTCTGAATAACAGTTACTATGTCTGCTGATACACTACAGACGATATGTTATGGTACCGCCCTCTAGGCATTGTTTTTGTAGATGTGATAAACATTTGCAATAATTAGATGCCTTTTTACACCTTTTTAATATCATTAGCCTGCCTTCACTAAAACTGGAGAATTTTCAGGTCTGTTAGTTTTTCATGTTTTGATAATCCACCGGATTTATTCCTCTTAACTTTTGAAATTTTCTACTAATATGCAGCATTATTGTAAATGACTCGCTTCTTTTTTAGCATTGTAAAATCAATCAATTGTAACGGAATATTTTTTTTTCCCAAGAATGTTCAGCGATAAAAAAAAATATTTTGAAAAAAAATTGCTATGCCTGAGTGACTGTGCGTATTATTTGATATATCTTATTTCAAGAAGTGAGCTATTGCATTATAGTGTTTAATGAATGTCAATAGTCACAAAAGAGGGGCACACATTAAGAAGTACATTACCAAACAAAAATTGGAATTTTCTGTGCGTCAGATTTTTTTTAGAATTCATTCTTGGGCTTAATTTATTTCACGTTCTCTTTCTTAATTTTTTTTCGTTTTTGCATACTTTTAAATTTCTTACAAGTTTTTTTTCTCTTTTTTTATAATGTAAAATAAATGATAAAAAACAGGCATAAAATTTTAATTTCAAATTAATGTCTTGTCCTTTAGAATGGAACAAGTGTTTGATCCAAGGATGCAGGGAAGGAATCTCTCTTTCTCTCTCTCTCTCTCTCTCAGAATGTTGTTCCTTATCATCACGTCTCACAGGACGGCTGAGTTTGGCTGATTGACATATTTGTTACAGAATAGTAAACCGGGAGATTTAGACTTGAATCTTGGTAAATTTTGCTTTTAGATTTCAAACCCACTTACAAAGAAACTGTAACATACCAATAAATCCAGGTTTCTGATTCTAACACTTTGCAAATTATCTTACACAAAAGGTTAAACCGGGATTTTTTTTTATCTTTCTTCAAAATTTCTAATTTTTGAAATAAAAATATATTCAAGTAGGATATTTAAGATTGAAAAGAAATTTTGATTCATCTTTATCATTAAAAAGAATAATGTCTTTGGTTTATCTATAGATTTTTTTTTTAAATTGTTCACAATAAAAATATGGTCACAGCAAAAAAATAAATAAATAAAAATAAAAATAAATAATAGAAATTAAAGAAAATTAAATAATTTAAAACAATTTAAAGTCTTAAAAGAATCAAACTGTATCTTTTCATTGTTATTTCTACGGAATGAACTAGTGTTCTAAAATTTGGCATTTGAAAAAAGTAAAATTGTTGCTTTAAAAAATATTATACCATGGCGTTTGTTAAATTTTCAACTAGCTTATTTCTCTGTATAATTTAATGAAATCATTTTAGATGAAAAATAATTAATTTTTCGATTCCAAAGTGTTGACACTCATTATTCGGAAAAAAATTTACACTTCTCAAACCATCCAAGAATTAAAAAAAAACAATTAAACACTTCCCATCTTTTTAACCAAAAAGTTTCAATAAAAACATTTATTTAGATAAATATTTATTTTTCAATGAGAATTAGTGACATCACTAATTGAGAAATAATACTTGGTGTCTGAGACGGAATAATTTTCGACCAAACGCGTGCCATTCAGCACAAGCATTTGCTCTCAACATGGAAAGTGTCAAAGAGGAATTAAAGGTCTTTATTAATTATCAAAAATAGTGTCGAGCTTAGTCACCTTATGGAAATACCGATCCCTAAGTTTAATTGTTGTTAACAAGCTGTAATCTTTAAATATTCACACAAACTTCCCCAGTCGGTTTAATTGCACTTACCCCAAGTTCTCTCGACCTGTACCCCTTGGCCAGTATTGCACCAGTCGAGTGAAGCGTTATATAGTGTTGACAGTAGCCTTTTCGACACATTGGTGAGACGGGACAAGTCTTTTTACTTTGGCTTAGACCTCGTTGGCAGTCATTTTGTGGAATTTTAGCAACTGATAAGAAACTACAAAACTGATCAAAAATTTCTAAAGGCCCGCCAAATGGAACATTTTGCAAGGAATTGGAATTTCTAACACGAATCAAAGGAACCTGGAGAAATGATATTTGTTTTGTCATTAAACTAAATTTGTATTGAAGTCCTTAGTCAGTCTCTCCAATTTAATCAAATATTTGTTCAAATACGGTAATAGAGATTATTAAACAAAACGCAAGAATTCGTTAATTATCATTATTGCTATATGGTTTCAATATAACAAGCCTGACTTCTGGGCAATTTTGGAAAGTCAATTCTAAATTAGATTTAGAAACAGGCAGGTACAAGAAATATTCAGCTTTGTGTAGAAGCAATTATAACATATCAAAATTTCTAGAATTAGTACTAGAATAGAACTAGAATTAATGACATCACTTCAAATACACAGAAAATAGAAAGAAAACATCTTAATGTTACAAATGTATATAATTTCTTTTGATTTTTTTTTCATTCAGCTATAAAATGCATGTTAAATAATTATTTGAAAATTCTGATGCTTAATTAGAAACCAGCCAGTTTAAAAAGTTCCAAGGAGGAAATGTTTACAGATTAAGAATTCCCAGGAAACAAAGGAATAAGTCAGAGATCAGTTTTAGCGGCACATTCGTCTCCTTTCTTTAAAAGAAAAAAAATCTTTAAAAAAAACTATAAGAATTGAATATTTGTCAGTATTATTCTATTTCATTAGTTCATCTACTTATTCGAGCTGTGATTATTTCAACTGATGTTCATCAAGGAGAGAAAATCAACACTACTGTAATAAAAAATGTGTCTTTTTGATTTATTTTAATATCTTGGTTCTAAAAGAGAAGAAAACCCCAAGAGAACATTCAGTATAAAATTGGATCTCATTATCAATTCATTACCAATCTCCATGCAATGAAAGATTCGCAATTTTACAAAAATGGTACAAAGGGTATTCCAGTATCCTATTATTATTTTATTTTGAATTTTATTTATTTATTTTTATTTTACAAGACAATTCTTATTGTTATTTAGTTTCCTGTTCAAGAAGCAATTAAGTTTTAGTAAATGACATTAAAATAGTGTAGACATTGCTAAAAAAAATATATACCCTAGACTTACATATCAGTCTTGTAAAAAATCTACCAGACATTTAGAATAAAGGTTTCTGGTCAAAAAATATGCCATATTCTGATAAAACAGAACATAAAAAGTCAAACACATCTATTGAGAATCCATTATGCAATGCAAGAGAACTAAACACCCCGTGTTTGGATTTCAATGTCGCTTATTTTGAAGAAGGCAAATTCTTGTAGTTACAAATTTTGTAAACCCTTCTCCTTAAAAGCAAGATGTTACTGTTAATGCAAAGGTACAGCTGTTTTTGTCATCTCGCGGAGCATTACAATTTATATGCCTCATAGGATAAGATGTTTAAGAGAGTTTACGTGTTAAAAAAATGATAAATGGTGTATATTTTTTTTTTTTTATTATTTTATTGATAGATTTATTACCATGCAGGTTAAGAAACACTTGTTGCCAATGCTTGAGAGACAGACAAGCTGATTATTTTTCATAGATAAACGATTGGGCATAAATTTGGATTAATGTATTTGTGATTATAAATTTTATCAATATTTTTGAAATAAAATGCAAATAAATTGTGTTAGATATATCTTTAAAAACTACTCTTAATTTGTCATAGATACAATGTATATTGATTTAAATTTGTATATTCAGCAAAACAAAATAAATTTATATAACCCCTTAAAACACTCTACTTTAGAGAGAAAAAAAAAGTTTTAAATATATGTATGTCAATGAATGCAGAGAGAGAAAGCTTTTAACTGCAATCTTTAAAGCTCGACGTAGAAAAAAGGACAAATGAAAAAGGGAAGCTCGGGCAATCGTATATGAGATACATGCATAGATTAAGTTCCCTTCAATACCGAAGAAATGTACATCAGAGCGAAAGGGAAAAAAAAACTCTGACAAAAGAAGCTTACAGACAGAGATTCAAAATCTCATCAAACAAATAAAATCAAACAAATACTCACACTGGCCAAATCTGATATTTGTTAATCAAAGTTATTTATGTCGTAAAAAACATCATCTGTTGAGACCTCTTAACGTTATCCTGGGTTTCCTGTCACCGGTTGCTGTTTTCGCCTCGTTTTCGGTTCAGCAGGTTATAATGTATTCGGTAGTAGTAAAAAAATATTCAAAGGGGAGTTTGGTAATCGAGGTCATTTAAAAGAAGGTGGGAGAACACAATGCCAACAGTTTGCAAAAAAAAAAAAACTAATAGATCACTGACATGCAAAAAAGCTGAGGGTTTTTGGCTCATAGAGAAATCATTCCATGCTCATTGTTGATTTGTTATGAACTCAAGAATGAACTTCTTTAAGCAGAGAATAGAGGGGCTTACCTCAATTAAAAATACATAATCTAGAAATTATAAGGATATGAAGCACTTTCTGCCCTCTCGGCCCGAGAAACCATTTTTATTTTTTTGAGAAACCATTCATGACAAGAGTTGTCAAAATAACGATCCCTATAGCCCCGCCTTACCTTCTTGATCAAATCTACAACATTGATCAAATTAAAAGTGAAGGTATTGAAAGTTTGGAGGGCATAGATTTTTTCATATGATCACAG